GATCGAGCTTCATCTACACAAGAAGTGAGTATACGTTTTTTTATGAATCTTTGCAAATCGCCTTTCCTAATATGTACTAGTTAGCAAGTTTCGCGGCTAAAGTAAACAAACAGTTCTGCTCTCGTCACCCAGAGAAGAGAGGGGCGGGGTCAGCAGAGCTCATTAGCATTTAAAGCAACATGGACTAGAATTGCTTGACTAGTTAGCAAGTTCCGCGGCTAAAGTAAACAAACAGTACTGCTCGTCGTCACAAGAGAGAGGCGGTGTGGGCAGAGCTCATTAGCATTTAAAGCAACATGGACTAGAATTGCTTGCTAAAAACAGAGCTCATTTTGACAGGGTAAAAAGGTGTTTTTTACACTACCATTGAGAAATTTTAACCAAAGTATGTTATAGACTTTCCATTAAGACCCTAAAGAATCATATCAACTTATATCAAATGGGCATCCGATGACCCCTTTAAGCATTTCATATGAATTCAGCACTCGAGTCCTATGAACTCGAACCTATGGTGTTTTTCTGGTCACGGTGACAGGTTTGGTTGAAGTGTTTCTTATCTGGTGTCTAAATGATTGCGAGGTCATCAAGGCAGCCACGGCATTTGGAAAAAAAGGAAACAAATCAATTTCAGTGAATTTATAAAGTTACTAAACAGCTGATGGGCTTCCAGCGTTCAAGATTCAGATGTTGTCAGTCAGTGACTAATAGAGTAATACACACTAGAGTTTAAACAACCAGGACATTTGCGGTTTTAGAAGTCTTTATTCAGATACTTTCCACAATAATCAGTGTGTGAAATGGTAAATCCACCAACACTTGAGGGTTTAAATGACTAATGATGTATTGATCATGACATGTAGAGACATTGGTTCCAGTTCGCTGACCTTTTCAGAGGTTATAGGTGGGGTGTGAGATCCTGTCAGATGGTGGGTGTGATCGCCCTTCACTTCCTCTTCCTCTTCATACAGATGCTTATGGACTCTTATTCTTACAAGAGTCTTACTTATTCTCTTATTATATTGTGAAATCAGTTTTTTCCATTGAGATTGGAACATTTACAGATTTTAAGGAAGTTCACAGTGCAATAGATACAAAAATATAAATCCGAAAGTACAGAAGAAAAATAAAATAAACATGTTGTGGCAAATTTTATACATGTTTCTATATATAAACAAGACTGGCTCTACCCATCCCCTCCTCATTAAACATTCATATCTACCACTCATGCATATTGTTGATATAAATAAATATGACTTGCATCATACAAACACAGTCAAGCCATTACAGTAGGGATTACTGTATAATGTTTGCGCTTTTGGAGCAGTCTATTCTAAACTCTAAAACAATTCATTGATTATTTTGAAAAAACACTGAATAAATCATGAGTCAGTCAGCAGCCCACAACACGACTCTTGACCCTCGTGTTGTTTCGGTCATTCTGACTCAGAGAGGATTTTCTTTTCCACAAAAATGCTGGTTAATGCTACTGCATTGAACTAAAACGTACTGACTTTAGGCCTCATCGATCTGTTTTGAGTCAATATTGCCAAAATTATCCACAGATATTTTTTTTAACACTCAAAAACTGAAGTGCATAAGCTCAGAATAACGATTCATATGATCAATCAGTTCAAAAAGGAAATGCAAAACTTGTGCTAATTGAAAGAATACAAGTTGATAAGACTGAATCCAACATTTGATGATATTACAGCATAATGAGAGATTTACAAGTGATTTTTTTTAAAAGGCCGGTCATTTTTGACTAGGAACACCAAAGGATTTTCAGCACAGAACAAGGGTTAAAAATGGCTGAAAGTCATTAGATGTTGTGAAATATTACATGAAGTGTCATTCACTGTAAAGAAAGATGCCCTTTAGAGACACGCTTTACAATCAAAGCATCTCATCTAGTGTTGAAAACACAGACTAAAAGTGTTGGGAAATATTAGAGTAACATTTTCTTAACCCACAGTGTGTCACAATCTTCAACATTCTTTCTTTTCAATAAATGACACTTTATTTGATATTTCATTGTCTAATGCAATGTAAACCTGAAGAAATAAAAAAATCGCCACAGCTGTACATTTTTAAATGATCCTGACTGATGCAATGAAATATTATTACCTACTTCTATCTATATTTCAAAATCCTAAATGATAAATTATTAGTCTTAACCACTGATCTATAATAGAGAACTGGATTGCTCATGACATCGTAAAAGTGAAGCAGCCATATTGGTATTCCCTTACATTCTATTGAATTAATAGCAAATCGTACTATTTTAATGAGAAAACATCACCTAACGAGTCCGCATTTCTATATCTGAAGTATCCCTGTACGTTCTTACAATGCAAAGTCCTAAGCATGTAAATGGTTATTTATTTAATGTCGGGAATTTCTCCTGCGTATTAAAAAGTTACGCATCATATTCATAACAGTAGCGAACATCAGATGAACATCGGAAGGACGAGATTCTCAATTAATCTTATGTAATTATGTTGTGTTATTGTTTTTTATTCGTACAGTTGGCTAACTGCAAATGTTTCCGCAATAATTTAATTGACAGCATGCATTTTGAAGCAGGTAAACGTTGGTTAAATAATTTATTAATTAAACATACATAACATAACATTTTACTCCTATGGAAACAATGCTAGTAGTAAAACGCCATAGAATTTGCACGATCTTTAAGAGTCTGAAATAGATGTTGCTCCATCAGGACAAAAAAAATACATGCATCATAACTTATTCAGAGAAATAACGCTGACTACATACGGTACAAACTTAAAGACATGAAGCTTTACTTCCAAGAAGATGCACGGTAAGCTTTGAATTTCAATACAATAGAGCTATAGTAACAGAGGCTTGTATTGCAATATTTATTGTATATTCAAATCAATTTCTGATACTAATACCATAATTATTTTTTGTGTTGGGTCGGTTACCTGTGTCGGCAAGGTGGGTATTCTGCCCGAAAGGCCCATAAACATTGCAGATAACATCTGAAGTAACAATGAATTTACATTAACACATATCCTAAAAAACGAATCCAGTGTGACGTCAAGGTTTTGGCTGTCAGTCAATGAATAGCAATATAGCGGCTCAAACACTTCAGAATGGCAATGAGCAATCCGGTCATTCTAGAGATCAGTGGTCTTAACACTAGTTCTTTGGAAATTACAATCACACAAAGCTACACATGGAGTTATTCATTACATTCATTACATACACTAGTAGTCAAACGTTTAGACACATCGATTCATTCATTTCCTCATGTTAGAATAATAGTTAAAGTTATAAAATTACCCAAATATAAATCTGGGAACAGGGCTCGACAAGAAGGACTACAAAAGCCAGCGTGAAAGATGACGGATTTGTCGCTGGCCCGATCTGGTCACATCATAATGAAAGTTTAATATTTGCACGTTTTTATACCTTGCCTATTTAAACATTCAAGCGATTTTTAAAGCATTTGAGCGCAAAAAGACGTGCAAAAGAACTCAATTCAGTATTCGTGCGCTGTGTTCTGTGTGTACAGTGCGCACATAGAGAGCCGCGTCCCGAATGAAGTTCTCTCTCAAGACTTATTGCACTTTAACAGACTAATACACCTGGCCAATTCAAACATTCAAGCGATTTAAAAACATTCAAGCATAGGGCTGCACGAATAATAGAAATTAAATCGCGATTAGGCAAAAGCTGCGATTGTCATGCGTATCTGTCAGTGAAGCACAGTTCTGTGATCAGCAGTAAATCTCTATCCGAAGGCCAGAGGGTGCTTATAATCGCAGAACGATTTCTTCGATTTCATAATCACGCGATTAAATCGTCTGCGATTATGAACACGATTTTGCGTAGCTTGTCAGTGAACTACGGCTCTGTGTAGTAAATGCTGCTCCATCTGAAAGCACGTGCTGGAGATTTACTACTAATCACAGAACCGGCTTTACTGACAAGATGCACATGACAATCGCATTCGATTAATCGTGCAGCCCTATTCAAGCACAAGAAGATGCGAATAACATCTTCATTCACTGTGTTTTGTGCGCACACATAGAGTCACATCTCGGGCAACGTGCGAGCCTCGTATTGCATTTCTTTCCTCTTCTTCTTGCGCTTGAACGGACAAATACATACAAAAGTATGTCAAATACCCGTCTTGGTGAGTATCCTCTCAAACAGTTGGTTACATCCTGAGTGAAATCGGATGTGTGTCACTATATTGGATCCATGCATTGTGTTTAAAGCGGCCACGCCTAATTTATCAACTGCTGTCTTGTCTTTAATAATGTTTGAACTTTATATTTGTTAGGCTAGTGCTATGGTATCGAAATTGGAATTGTAAAATATAAGTTAAAATTTTGTTGTCATATAAGCTTATGTATTACAATACAAGATAACACAGTTCAAAAACAACACTAGCAACTATTTTATTTTTTGTGTACCAAGCCAGTAGAAAAAATCCCTAGCGTTGAGCCCTGAGGAATGATGCAGTGCTCAAAACATGTTACACAAATGAAGACTCTTATATTTGAGCTTTTTTTATTATTATTAATTTATTTTTGTCTTCTAAACTGTTTAGACTCCTTTAGATCAAAATGTTTTTAAGAACACAAGGAAATTGAGTCTGTGTCCAAATGCTTGACTGATCACATGACAGAAACACTGCTGATCATGAAAATAACAAAAACAACAACATCATATAATCTCTCCACATCCCGAAAATGATGAGGAATCATCAAATCCAAACTGATTCTATTCAATAGCCAAAAATACATTGTATGGGTCAAAATTATAGATTTTTCTTTTATGCCAAAAATCATTAGGATATTAAGTAAAGATCATGTTCCATGAAGATATTTTGTAAATTTCCTACTGTAAATATATTAGAACTTAATTTTTGATTAGTAATATGCATTGCTAAGAACTTCATTTGGACAACTTTAAAGGAGATTTTCTCAATATTTAGATTTTTTTGCACCCTCAGATTCCAGATATTCGCAATAATAATAAATAAAAACTGGTTATATTATTAAATAGGATGTGGATGGCAACTTCAAGGAATCTTTTCAAAAGTACAAGTTCAGTAGCAGGACGTGAAAGGCTGTGAGCAGAAGTAAGAAGCTGGGTAACAGCGCAGGAGTGAGTCGGAGTGCGTCTGAGCGGCTCATGCTGAGCTTGTATTGTGCGACCGTCCTCTGATAGCCTTCCTCTGAAAACATGCATCTGTACGTCCCTTCGTGAGTCTCGTTCATGCTTTTAATGAGATACAAACAGCCCTGCTCAGAGTGAACGCACTCCTCACGCGTCCTACCGTGTTCCCAGTGGTACGTGGCGTGGTGTGAAGTCATCGGGCAGAGTAGGAAGTGTTTTGAGGAAGGCGGGATGTGGATCACTGGCGTCTCGGTCTTTGATGGTGCGGCTTGAGGCATATCTGCTGAACAGACGGTCATGTGATGAGTTTGTTAAATTGGCATAAATGAGTCAATCTGAAAGCATTTTGTTTCAAAAACATGTGAGCTGTCAATCTAGACTCTAGAACAACCTCAGAGAGAATTTCTGTCTTAGATGACAGATGAAGCTGGTTGATTATGAATCACAGCAGGGCCGCATGATTTTGGAAAAAATCTCTTTTTTTTTTTTTTTAATAAAACTTTTGATTTTTTGTTTTAAATGCCAATTTTAAAAAGTCCAGATTTGTTGTGCTTGTTTTAAGGGCTGCCGAATTTGGTTGATTATATATCAAAATGTTGATTATATATCAATATTACTGTAAAAAATAATAATTATTATTATTGCAATATCAAAATATAACAATAGCAAATTATTATTATAGCTAAATCAAAATATAATAATAATAATGCATTATTTATTATTTAATATTAATTAAATAAAAGTCTAAAAATTACTAAAAACAAAATAATAAATAATATTGTAATATTTCATTGTAAAATATTTTTACATTAACAAATGTCAAACTTACTGCAGTCTTTGATATCCTGGACTGGGTTTCTGTGGAAAAGAGGAAACATTACTGAGATGAGGATTCGATACGCCATTCATAAATGTATTGTTTGGTAAATTAATCATAAGGTGTGGGGGTTTTTTGTGTGTGTGTGGGCGGGGGAAGTTATGTTAATGTTTGAGTGGTAGAAAATAAAGAAATGAGAGGAGATCTACATAAAAGGGGCTTCGTGTGGTCGAGCAGGTAAAGTGATGCAAAGAGGTTGAGTGTTTTTCAGTGGTTATGGAGTTTCTGAATCATTCAGCCTCATTTAGATATGACTATTACTAGTGCTCGTAATGACTTGAACAAACCTCAAATACTAGGTATGAAACTCATTCTGCAGATCACAGAGATTCAAACCACCTCAAAATCACTCACAATGCTCTAGCATCATTGCACAACTCTCTCAGTCTAAAGAACTACGATGAGCTTTAGTAGCAGTGGCTTTGAGCTTTTGCTTCATCCTAAAAATACACGTGTGATCAGGAAGGAAGCAGATGTGTGTGTGCAAGCAGAACGAGGTCTTACTTTGCTGCAGAGGTGCAGTGCAAACCGTTCCAACCACAGTAGGGGTCTCGAGATAATCTGCATTCGTTACACTCATTTCCGTATATATGGCACGTCTGTAGGTCAATCTGAACAACTTCATTACTGGAACTCACATACAGACGCTTCTGAGAAATCAAACACATGATAATGAGTCCAACTGCTGATAACATGATATATGCTTAAGAACAAAATCAAGAAACTAATCAAAACAAAAGACACAAATGAAGCTCTCCGTGTATCTACATTCAGAGTAATTGAAAGTAAAATAAAACAACTGTTAACTGAAGATTTCCCTATGAAACATCCTATGTTGTGCGCTCCTTGTTAATACAGTTATGATCACACTGAATAACATTTATATTTTTGCATTTGGCAGAAGCTGTTATCCAAAGCGACTTGCTTTGCATTCAAAATAACCATTTCATCAGATCATGCATTCCCTGGGAATCGAACCCATGACCTTGGTGTTGCTAGCGGCATGCTTTTCTGTTTGAGATTAGTATTAATTTTTAACATTTTATTATTGATTTAGGTACTTTAGGGCCCTATTAAATCAATTTTATTTTTTCACAAAATCTTTTTTTTTTTTTTTCAAATTCCAATTTATTTTATTTATTTATTTTTATTATTATTATTATTAATTATTTATTTATTTATTTTCAGTTTAAATTTTTCTGGATTACGTTTTTTACCATTTAAATTTTTCTGGACTCAGTTTCACTGGTTAAATTAAAATTTAGTACTCAGAAAGCATGCCTAATTGAAATCATGAAACATACAATTTAACAACAGTTGAACAAAAATAAAATTTTTAGGACCCTATGAAATACGTTTAATTTTTTTTCTCATTCTGTTTTATTTTTACCAAATTCAGTTTTTCATTTAATTTTTTCTGAATTCTATTTTAATGGTTTAATGAAATTTTTACAATCAAAAAGCATGTGTAATTAATTGAATTCATAAAATCTATTTATTATTATTATTATTTTACAATAATAGAGGCCTATGAAATGTTTAGTTTTTCCAGAAATTCTGGTAATCAAATGAAGGTTAAAACATTTAATTTCATTTATCTTTTAATCAAATGAAAATTAAACAAACCCTTTATTTTTTGGCAAACGAAGTGCTGCACAACAGAGGTTTACTCTTAAAGTTAAATAATTCAAAATGGTGTGATTACTCCTTTAAAAATAATTTTATTATTACTATTATTAGTGTTAGTATTATTATTATATTGAAATGTACATTCTACTGTACAATAGTAATATATTTCTGTCACAATTTCTTCAAGTTGAACCAAACTTTTATTTTGATGGGTTGCCATGAAGTTTTTGTTGTGTGTGTATTAGGCTTGGACGGTGTTGACGGTGATACCGGTGTAAACACCGGTTACGTCACTTGCCCACCGCGGCACCGACCCCCACCGTCGTTTTGATTTTTTTGTAGTAATAAAAATAATTTAGTTCAGTAAAGTTTAATTTCTCCAGTGAGGAGAGTGAGTCGAGCTGACTGACGTTCAAACAAACAATTGTTTTAGGCCGAATTGCCGCTATTTGAAAGTGAAAGTAAAATGCGCACGCCGCTTTTACAAGCTATTTAAAAGCGAAGGAAAGCGAGAAAAAGAGGGAACGCGCCCGCCCCCGCGGTGATACCGGTATTACCAGTGTTGTCACACGTCAATTAACCGGTGGGAAAATTTCCTCACCGTCACAACGCTAGTCTGTATATAATTTGACGATAGTTTTTCTCAAATGAAACGGTGAAATGCCCATGAAGTGACTCTCAGAGCAGTTCTGGAGATTATGTATGTGAGGTGGATGTTATGTTGCTCATGGATTTTTGCGCCGTACCTCTGCAGCGTCCAAAAGCATGCTGGTGATGTGCGTCCCTCGTGGAAATGGCAGATACTCCGCAATGATAAAAACGGGCTGTTCAACAGGCTCTTCCAGCACTTTATGAACCCCTCCACTTTCTGTGAGAAAATATCACAACAGGACATTAACTAATCTGTCTGCATAGGGAACTACCTACCTAGACAGCATGCTAACTCTCACATCATACAAACTTATCTACTTGCGTGAAGCATTTAAGATACCCGACTAACGCTCAGTTTATTCAAGATGAAGTTTGTTGCTCCATGTTGCTTTTGCATGAAATATTCCGATTTTAAATGCATATTTTTCATTGAGCACATCACAATGCATTGTGCGACTGTGATACTTGGATTCTGGCCATATAAGGTAGCATAATTTTGCTACCTACTGTTTGGAACAGCCTTCGTGCCTAATAATGACACCTACCTAGGGTTTGCAACCATTAGATTGTGCAACTCTGATAACTCGTACTACACTCCTTATTATTTAGCCTTACACAATATAATCAATGAATCACTGCATTTACTAGCAATTGCATGTACCGGTCATTTCCTGTTTCTAAATGTGAAACTGATAAGAGAATTTAGACTCTGGTTTAAATCAACATGAAACTGCATTTACAACCAATTTAACTTCTGTTATGTGAAGTCTACTTCTGAGTGAAGCAGGATGTTTGACGAGAAGCGCTTCATAATAAATGACACATATGTAGAATTGAGCAACATGTTAACTGCATTTGATCATTTTCATTGAAATGAATGTATATTATTAATTTCAATTACTTTATAGAAATATATATATGCATATATATTAGTGCTGTCAAACGATTAATCGCGATTAATCGCATTCAAAATAAGTTTTGGTTAACATAATATATGTGTGTGTACTGTGTTTATTTATTATGTATATATAAATACACACACATACAGTATATATTTTGAAAATGTCATTACTTCCTGTGACTACAAGTGTGAACACACCCTTACTCAAAGAACCGCACTAACAGAGCAATCGCGCCAGAGTTCGGTTTAATCAAACCAAACATGACAAGTGTGAACACACCCTAAATTATTCAGTTCCTCACAGTTCCCAGTGAAGACTGGCGTACCTAGAGACAGAAGCAGGACCGTGTGGCCTCGTACTCGGTCCACCTGGATGTGAGTGTAATGTTGGTGTCGAAACAGCATGGGACCGTTCTCTGGCATCACCCAGTCCTTCATCTCTGGACGGTCCCTCATAAACGCCAGCACTTCACTACTTAGACGAGTACTGTCTCTAACACACTAAAAGAACCACAAGCAGTTTGTCAGAAGAAGAATGGAAAAGATAACTGTTATCCGAACAGAGCTCAACAGTCGGTTCTAGATGTAAAAAAGTCATTCAGAATCTCCATAAAAAACTGAAGTGATGATACAATCTATCAGATGCTGTTTAGGTTGCTTTGGAGTGTTACAACCTTTTAAAAGGACACAAAAATCCAGACCGACTGGATTACATCATTCAGACTATGAGATGAGCCGTTCATAAAACACATTAGGTGCACAGTCTCGTACCTTTGTCTTTTTGAGTACAACATTTGAATTGTCTGTGAATCAAATGTTGTGATTCAGCGACTCTAGAATGAATCATTTAGTGACGTGCCAAAGACAAATATTCTGCAGCTGATGAAGGGCGGATCTCAATAATGACATCCCTGACAGTATATGTGCTATTATCTTCATGCCTTTATAGTCACATTTACTGTAGATAATTAGATAAATACATTTTGTAATGATACAAACAATCAAGCAGTTGAGTTTTGCTATATAGTACGTATCTCTCTATTTATATATCTTCATATAAAGAGCTGGATGATAATATGTGTCCCTGGAGCACAAAAGCAGTCTTAAGTCGCTGGGGTATATTTGTAGCAATAGCCAACAATACATTGTATGGGTCAAAATTATACATTTTTCTTTTATGCCAAAAATCATTAGGATATTAAGTAAAGATCATGTTCCATGAAGATATTTAGTTCAGATGATGCATAAATCTCAGTTTCGAGAAATTTACCCTTATGACTGGTTTTGTGGTCCAGGGTCACATATAGTTACATTTTGCAACAAAACAACTTGAGATTTGCTATATAGTATATATATATCGCTTCAGTGACAGTATAATATTTACCGTTCCAGGCCGGTGATTCGCAGGAACCTTTGTGGAGTTGAACTGAGAGGATGTGAAGATGGTGCTGATTCCAGTCGTGTTATAAACACACACAGCACTCATGTTCCTGTAAACAGAGACACGTTCGCTTTATTTCATCAGCTTTTGTGGAACTGTGTCAAATGACGGATGTGTACTGGACTTTTTAACACTCGATTGACTGTAGCAGCCCTGTTCAACAGTCATGTCTGCTTTTTACACTGATGTGACGGCAAATTCAAAAGACTACTACATCAACTACAGAGGTGACACTGCAGTTAAGACTTCCTAAAAAAGTAACTAATTGCGTTACTTAGTTACTTTTTATGGAAAGTAATGAGTTACGTTGCATTTGTGTTACTATTTCACGTTCTCCATGTCCTACTCCAACCCTCACAAAATTCAAATGGAATTGCAATCCCCTTTGCACTTGTATTTCCAACATGGTCAGCTGTCAACCATTCGTGAGGGCGGGGTTTATTGATATAGTCTGAAAGTATGCCACGCCCACTACTGGTGGAGAACTGTTTTCACTTTTATTCAATCCTATGAGGAAAATGGAGACAAATATCCAATAAATGTGACTGTTTTTGCAACTAAAAAGCCATAAAACTGTTGTATAGTTGTTGTTTTTTTCTTTCACTTCAAACAATGCCAAAAAACTGGAACTAAATATTTATTACCTGCAAACAAACAAGCTACGTCAAGAAGAAATGAAGATAGATCTGTGGAACCGCACAACTGAAAGAGGTCGCAAATTATTGCTAATGTACAATAATGACTTCATCCTAAGCTGAAATATCGTGTATTGTGCATTTTTCATAATAATAATAATAATAATAATAAACATTTATTTGTATAGCAATTTTCATGCAACTCAAAGTGCTTCACCAGCATAAAATCAAACAACTATAAAAGGTTCAAAATGTAAAATAAAGCATATAGTTTGACCTCAATATCAATATAAAATAAAGCAACGATGGGAGGATCGGAAGAAATAATTAAAAGTAAAATCAGAAGATAAAATAAATCATCTGATTCATAAACGTATGCTTCATATAAAGAGATAGATCACACTTTATCTTTCCAAGCTTAAAACTCATCGACACCGCTTTGTTCATTCTTGAAGTGTTTTTTTTTGCCTGTTTGGTGATTATATTAACGGCCGTCTTGAACGAAACGCAACGTTTCCAGTGTGCGATACCTTCGAGTTACGTCAAAAAGATACAAATATAGTTTATGAATAAATTAAAAAAAATGCTGAAATGAAGCAGAATTCAGAGCATCCTCCGACTAATTGAACATGAGCTGCGACTTTCTTTTTTTTTTCGGGTTGAAAGGTTAACATAAAATCGGTTCTGGATTCTTAAGAGAGAAAAAAATAAAATAAATGAGCATGTTTTTGTTGCAAAAATTGCCAAATTCCTCATTTTCCTCATAGGAATGAATAACGATGCTTTGTTTTCCACCAGTAGTGGGCGTGGCATACTTTCAGACTATATCAATAAACCCCGCCCTCACGAATGATTGACAGCTGACTGTGTTAGGCATTGGAAATGCAAGTGCAAATGGACTTTGCATTTCCAATTAAAATTGGGCAGACATATTACACACACGGAAACACACTTGTAATGTGTTACCCCCAACACTGTTAAAGTCACACATACTGCTCACCTAAAATACAAAGCATGAGATTTTGTCTTACCAATAGTTTCTGAAAAGCGCATAAATTTTGGTGTCGCCGTCCGTTTCCAGCGTGGCCACATCTATCATCTGAGTGAATTCATATCCTCTGCCACAGAACAGACGGGTGAAAATCATGGATGTCCAGCTGCTCTGAAGATGACTCTTTGAGCCGCCTCTGTCGTTCTGAAACAGATTGGGTTGTGTTTAATTCTGCGTGTCAATACAGAGTCATATGGACTAGTTTTATGGTGCTTTTTGGAGCCTGAAAGCTCCTGTGTGCCTTCAAAAATCAGCATGAAGATTCTGCTAAACATCATCTGTTCTTCTACATAAGAAAGCCATATAGATTTGGACTGACATGAGGGGGGTTTAAATTATTATTAGAATAAATTTTAGACCGGGAACAAATTTTTTTGGGGAAATTGTAAAAATCGCTACTTCATCGGAATGGTACGAAACTCAATGACTTTTATGGCTGTGACCACAAAAAAAAAAAAATTGTGGACTTGATTCGAAAAAGCTAAATGGTAATAAAAAATAAAAAAAGTCACACTTGTGTTGTTTGCAGTCATTAGAAATGAATGGGAAATGTGCAAAAATATGAAAATAGAGAGGTTTTTTTGTGTGTACAATCTACAAATCATTCACGATGCAGAAAAAAGTGCACAGCAATGAAGGGGTGACACTCTAAAATATCAAGAGTGCAAAACAGACACACTGATAAAGCATTCCTGTTCATATTTGTTACATTTTTGTTGAACTCTGATGTTATGTGTAACAAAATGTCTTTCTTTGTGTTCAGGTTTGACTGTAGTAAAATTAATGCAAAAACTGACATTTCAAATCAACATTAAAAAAAAAAAAAATTCTAAACCTTTACAAAAAGTTGTCTTTGAGAATGTCTAAATATAAATCCAAATCCACAACTTAATAAAAATAAGTATTTAGGTCTAAAAACAACTAGAGAATTTATAAGCCTTTATATAGAGCTCTATAGGAATCATAGGCTAAACCATGGAATTTCAGAAGTTTTTCTTTTTTTATTCCCACCAGATGGAACTAATCTGCCTTCAAAAATTGCATTGTTTCTATTTTAACATAATTGAAAAGTAACAGAAAAATATTAGAAAAAAAATTATTTTCAATGAGAAAAATTGATCATAAATATGAAATAGTATCATGAAATTATCTCAAAATACAAAAGAAAAAAGAAAAAATATTATCGAACAAAAATATATTACAACGATTTCACTGAAAATAAAAAAAGGTTGCATTTCAGGTGCCCGGTCACTTTTGACCGCGAACAACTCAAGTGTGACTCCCAAATGAACAATACCAGAGGGTTAAAAAAAGCTGAAATTTCATAAGATTTCTCACATGATATAATAAAGTAAATTTAAACATAAGGACCAGAAATCTACCTCCTCATTTTCATACTGGATTTCATACTGAAGATCTATTATGAAGCAAAAAATCTTGTAAGAATCACTATTTTTATAATTGCGGAAAATTGCGATATTTAATAGGAAATGACTCCAATGCATAATTTCAGAGCTTTGACAACAACTCCCAGCACCTGCTTGTGGCACATCTGACATGTCACCAACACCTGAGGTTATAATTATAGAACTGCTCCCTTTAGCACGAATGTGGCTTCGAGTTACTGAGAAACATCTCTATTAAACATGCAGGTGTTGCCATTAGCCAAGTGCATTTCATATCTGCTAAAATAACAGCTGTCACATTTAAGGAGGTGAAAGTGTAGAGAAAATTCAGACGTACGCCCTTGTAAACACAAGAACATCAGGCTGCATTTAGCTCTGCTTACTGACAAATTAATATCAGATGATACTGATACATGTGCACTTGACTGGGAAACCACGCCCTTGTAAACACAAGAACATCAGGCTGCATTTAGCTCTGCTTACTGACAGATTAATATCAGATGATACTGATACATGTGCACTTGACTGGGAAACCCTAACCCTGAAAATAAATAAAATAACTGAACTTGAATTATGTAAATAGCATTAACCGTATTGGCAATGGAAATATATCGAGCCATTCAGACAGGAGAAATTATTGCATTGTATCTGCAGTGTTCTTTAATTTGGGACTGACGTCTTTGGTCATTACGCCACTAGTGCCACATATTTAAGACTTTGTGTTAAAGACATCCAATCAAACATGATCTTTTTGACATCATTCCCTCAGTGCAATAAATACAGTCCTATGTTGTTTTGACGTTTCAAAACGTTGTGGTCCACACAGAAGAAGGTTTGGAACAAAACGATGGCGAGTAAATGATGACCGTTTTTGTTTTTGGGTGGAGTATCATTATCAGATTAGGCAAGGTCACTAATTGCAATCTTTTTTTGCACATTAATTTTTAAACCATTAACAAAATGTAAAGCTTTAAGTGTTTAAAACTGCAGTAAAATACAATCAGAAATGCGCTTCATGTTTTCCGGTGTGATTTCTGCTCACCATGCAGCTCTGAGAGACTCTTGGAATCCACTGCTCAGATTCACCGTCTCTACTTTTGCGTTTCTCTGCGAAGAAGGAATAAACTTTGTCCCGGTGTTGGCCTTTACCAGCGATCAGCTTCAAGTACGTTTGCTCTAAATGTGACAAAGAAAAAACAGCACTGTTTAGAATCATTCCGAAACTGACATGAACTCATTTCAGTGAAACGGTGAAATTCTCACATTTTTTTTAGTAGTGAAAGATTAGTTTGATCTGATTTCTCACCCGCTTCATTTGACTGAGGCCAAATGTTGTCGTTTTTGTCGTCCTTGTTTATCTTGTACAATCCCTTCCCAGATTTGGTAAAGTACAGCATATTATCTAAAAGATGGAATATAGAAATCAGACGGCGTGTAATAAAAAGAAATAATGTATGACAGTTGTTAGTGGTCTAGTTATAGTCAGGGTTGCATATGCAGGCATTTCCCTTTCAAGTGCAACATTTATGACAGGACGGTATTTAAATGAATCATAAAAAGGTGATGTACTAAGGTTTGTGCTAGTCAGTTTACTGGCATTTGAGCAATTATTTAACGCCCCAAAGACACACTCCTTGTAGACTGCGTTGGTCATTGGAAAATAGCTGTGTTTGTGTTCTTTAATTTGCTCATTGTAAGTAGATCATGCACAGATATTTCCACTCCCGTCAGCACTTCTACAGGATTGCACTCTCACGCTTATTTGCCCTGTTGAGTAAATCTGGCTCAGAATATACCGTAAACAAGCAAACAGCTGTAAAATCCAAATGCACAGTGAACATAATGTGCTCAAAAATGGATTATGCATAATGCAGCAGGTAATTTAACATTTGGCGATGATTGTCCAAAGTGCTGCACTGATGCTGTGGAGAGGATGAATTAGGGCTGGGCGATATAGCTAAAAAATGTATCAACGATATAATGTTTCATATCGTTCGGTATCGATAATTATTGACGTTTTTTATAACCTTTTTTAAAACGAAGAGCAATAGAATTTTTTTTTTTTAATTTAACCACTGTATTTTTAAAGTAACCCAATTTGTTGAGACAAACAACATATATTTTTTGTTTTAACAGTCAAACACAAAATCAATTTAATTTCTAATGTTTTATATGTAGATTAAATAGGTCTGAAGGAAACTTTTGGCTTGTCTCCCGAAGCCACAGGAGGGCGCAATGAGCAAAA